GAAAATGACCAGATCCCTCATCTCAAAAAGAAGAAAAAAAGGAACTCTCCCTCGAGAAAATTGATTAATTTAAAGGCTTCAAGCAAACTTGGACGCCGTATTTGGGCTTTATAGTGAGCACGACGACGGGGGCATGACGGTAATTTTGAGAGATTGTGAAGCTGAATTTGGAGATGAGCATGGCCAATATGATCTTGGTTTCCATGAGAGCAAAAGATTGCCCAACGCAATTGCGAGGCCCAGCAGCAAAGGGAATGAATCTACCAGAAGTAAAGGCTTTTGAATTCGCAAATCTCTCAGGATTGAACTCATTTGCATCTTTTCCCCATAGCTCATCACTGTGGTGAATTGCCAGCACTGGAATCCATATCGACAGCCCTTTCGGAATCTCGAGATCGCCTAGTTTTATATCTTCGAACGCCATTCTCGGAAGAATGCTTGCTGGCGGGTACAATCTCAACGATTCATTTATCACCATACTTAACTGTGTGTCAAAATAACTCAATTAATTAAGATATATATGTTCCAATTAAAAAAGAATAAATTATTGGCTAAAATATTGGTTTCACTTTCATCCCATTATTGTTTAATAATATGATAAAGAGATTTTGAATGATTCAAGCCTGCTTTATGAATTCAATGTCTTTTCGGTACCAGCAAAGTGGCTACAACAGTCATGAGGAAAAAAGTTTGGCCTTTTTTTTCTCTCTATTATTTAACTCATATATATCTCCTTGTAAAAATATCAAAATTCAATTGATGAAAAGACATTTATAAGTGGTGTGTGTGCCATGATTCATGAAGTAGGCCATATTGCAATGGCTTGGCTCCCACTCATAACTTTCTAGGCTATTATTAAAATTGAATTTCATCGATCAAAAGGTTAGAAGTTTAAGTTTACCAAAGAAAGTTTGGAGAGATGGTGAAGAGCGGGAGTTGTGCCATTGCAGACGGACATGACTTCAGCTCGGACCTTGTCTTGCCAAGATGGGTTAGTGGCCAACAACATTACAGTCCACGTCAGCAAGAGAGCAGTGGTTTCATGGCCAGCGAAGAAGAAGGTCTTGCATTCATCCATTATGATCTGCAAATTCAAATTACTAAGCTGCCCATTGCCACCTAATTTCTTCTTCATCTGCATTTCATTCAGTAACATTCCCAATAAATCATTCCCATAAGAACTGCTCCTCCCCACCTCCACACACTCCCTTCTGCTCTCTATAATCTCCATTAACAGCTCCTCCACTTTCCCCTTCAATCCCTTTATCTCTCTGTTGTATTTACTCGGAAAAAATCTGCGTGAACAAATTTCCGAGTAAATGTAATTAGTATGGATACTGGATAAACATCTAAATATTTACTATTTTTTATTAAAAAAATGAGAGGAATGCTGACCGGCTACCGGGAAGGCAGAGGTGGCGGCTGGCCTGAGCGCAGAGATGTTGCAAAAGGGTTAGCAAATGGAAGATTTGCTTTCCCTTCTCGTAGCTGCTTTCGAACTCGGTTCTGGCGATTATATCGGCGGTGAGTGTAGTCATATACTCGCCGATTTCGAACTCGGATCGCCCTGATTTTACCTCGTTTTCTATTGATTGAAGCATTTCCTTTGTGCACTCCACCATGTAGCCCGCGTAACTCTGCGCCAACGACAAAACCGCTAAAATTCAAGCTAAACTAAAAACGCTAAAAAAATTAGAAATTAAAGCAAAAACATTGACTTTATTTAAAAAAAAAAAAGCTATAAGTTTTCAGTTTTCAATAGAGTATTTTTATTAAAAAATTGAATGCATATGTGGACCTTGAGCTTGTCCCCGATGAAGGCCGGCGCGACGATGTGGCGCTGGTGGTGCCAGTTTTGGCCGTTGGCCATTAACAGACCTCGCCCAATGAAGTGCTTTGAACCCTCTTGTTGGAGCCACGACTTGCCCGAAACCGCGCTGTACTTTGAAAGTAGCTCTTTTATCAAATCCGTAT